TACCACCCTCCCTCCCTCACACTTCCACCTGTTCCTCCCCCCTCAGCCTCGACTTTTCCCATCTTGTCTTCCACTCCTACACCTTCTCCCAGTACAACTGCAGTCGTATGCTCTACTCTTATGCTTATTGCTGAGACCTCAAGCATAGCAACAACATCGGTCACCTGTTTAGACAATCTCGACAGCACTGTCATGCCAATCACCAGTCTGGCCTCGACAACAACCACACCAAACGTGCTTGAATCACCTACACCAGGTGAATGTGATCTGTATGAACCAAAAACTGCTATGACGACTGCAGATCTTACCCCCAACACCACCACCAGAGGCCCAAAAGCAGCCTCCAACTCCACTCGACAGCAGATCGACTTTGCATCCACTTGTTTCACCATCACCACCAGAACACCTTCTCATGCGTCGACGAACTGTGAACCAGACGCAACCAGTCAACTCACCAGCCTACCACCAGTCAAGTCAACCGAGCTCGAGTGTGATTCATATCCCAGTCTTCGCAACTCATCGAAAAGCAAAACTCAGCAGACAAGTATTGCTATGGTTACCACGCGTGCAATAAGCAGTCCATCGTCCAACAATGCATCCACGACAAGACGCCAAGAAAATCGGCCAAACTGCAATTCAACTCGACTAACAAGTACAACCATCCCCGTGAATTGCACAAAGAAAACGCGACCCCCTTATGCCACCACCATGACAACGCCAATTGCGACTACCACGCGAATACAAACAACCACAGCCTCGACTTCCACCAATACTAAAATGACGCCGGAAGTGATAAAAAAGCCAGAGCCAGGTAGGCATTTTATGCATGTAGAGCGAAAAATTGGGTAGGGCTAAGCAAAAACTTTGGGGGATGTAAGGACTTATGGATGGATTTCACAATCGACAACACTACCATTTGCAACCTAAGGTGATATGGAAAATTATGTTCTACTCATTTCCCAATAGACAACTCAATAGTCAGGTCTTACATCTCCTAAACTACCCGGGATGACTCAGGTTCTGAAAAAGAACTACTTCCGACTACTTATGAGTAATTAGGTACTTATGAGCACTTTATCTTTTAAGGAATGTGTAAATTTAAAATACTATGTATATCGCTGGTGTGTTCAAAATGACGGTTGTTTGGGATTT